AAAAAAAAACTCAGAACCCCCTATCAATGAGAGGTAGCGTCTATTTATAGACTAGGGCTAAAACATGGGTGGATTACCCAAAGCTAACTCTAATTGATGATAATTAAATTTTATTGGAATTAAAAAAATAAGAAAATAAGGTGCAAAATGACTGATTTGCTCCTATCTAATATTAAAAAAATTCCAAAACAGTCCCTGCTGAGAACTTGGGACGTTCTTAATTCTTCTCGGACGATCCATTGACGATCCGGCATCCGAATGAACAAAAAATAATTGCCATCGTGTAGGGCTTGATGCTACGATCATTTTGATATCAATTTTAAGCCATGAATCACACTTTAAAGGCATAATCACGAAACTTAAAATTTGAATACATATTAAAATTTTGATTGATAGTGCGTCTTCATGTCGATATTTTTCTATGATTTCTTCGCTAAATCGTACTGAGCATGTCACCACGATCACGTTGCGACAAACGGGACACGATTTGGTGTCCAAACAATGTTTTGGCAATCCTGGACTCTGGCAGAAACTTGGGATTCCGGCTGCCGAAATTTATGGTGATTTCAACTTGATCTCGTGTAAAATATGACCGTTCATCACGTGCAGAGTTCGGACTAATAATAGTCACAGACCTTTTGCACGCGATGCAACTGGTCTCACATCGATCGGGTTAGCGGGCACTGTGATATGGCCATTCGAGTGACCGGAGGTACTGCTGGAAATGTGCAACATGCGGCTTCGAACCACGAACTTCTCTCTAGCTTTTCTCCCGGCTCGATCATCGTCACGAGACATACCACATATCAAAACACTCTTCTTGAGGAGACGAACACGCTCCAATAAGTTTGAGCGTGACCTGATCTCAGACGAGTGAGATATGAGTGTCGCAAGTCACTATTCGTGACTGTCCCTTTAATGGAGATTCCTTATAGGGTGGTCACACGGGAATAGTGTGCAGCTCCTTCTGTTTTAGTATTTTACCCATAACTTCTTTCTAGAGTGTTCATTTAAGCTGAAATTTGACCCCCGTGAGTGTTCAATTGTGTCGAATCTAATGACGGTGGTCCCACGGCCGTTTGATGCTCCAAAGGTAGGGTTGTAGTTATAAGAGTCCATTTCCGGGTGCTAGAGGTTGATTCTGCTAAAACTGTTTTTTAGTATGCACTGCCTTAAACATGTCGGAATGTGACAAAGCTTGGCAGGAGGCTTTTTGGAGTCCTTATGAAGTCGTTCTGAGACTGTCAAAATTTTCACTCTTTGTCATGCTTTATTGACCAGCTTCTCTTTTTTATTCCGCATCGGGGACCCATGGTGCTGAAAAATGTCTTCAAACAGCCACATGCCTAACATACAGATGTATCGATATTCTCTCTCTCTATTCACCCAATATAAAGAAAAGAGAAATAATATCATGCAACTGTTGTATAATGTATAATGCAACCATCTTCAAAAACCATGTTAGAGACGTGTTTGACAAGAGTTTTTAAATGTACACTCTTTTCATTGTGAAGAACAGCCACAGAAAAAGGAAATTTTGAAAAAATTCTCTAGAAAGTTTTTATTCTGGCTCAATTAATATAAACTGTCTATTTTATTGAGATAGTTAGATATAGGCCTCAGAAGGATTTTTTTATTCCCAAAATTTTTATATAATGTTATCATCATTATATTAATAATACTAAAAAAAAAAAAAAGTAATTTTGAATTGGTTAATGCCTAGATCATAAAATTCACCAAATGGATGGTCGAGATTCATTGTTAGATGGGTATTTATTTTGACCATATCTAGGGTGCAAATTGAATTTTTTTTCGTAGGATTGATTATAAGGATAAAGAGAGTGTGTGTGCAAAACTTGGGGTCATACAAATGCCAAAAATATGATTTTCTAGAAGTGTGGTCGCATTATACTACTACACTACCGTTGCATTAGATCATTTTCCTAAAAAAAATATAGTCATTTAGTACACAATTATTCTCGGATGAAGTTTTATAAGGCTTAGGCTCTATGAAAACAAAATAAAGCCGCACCTCAAATCTTCGTCCAAAACCACTTTTTGCAATTGAAATATCCATGATGGATCTAATTCAATTTCCAACACCAATGATAAATTTTGAAACTAAGAAAATGCTACAGATCTTGTGGATATATGGACATTTAATTTTAGGGTAAAATGGATGGTCTGGAACATTTAATTTTAGGGTAAAATGGATGGTCTGGAAAAAAAATTTCAATATACATAATTTTTACAACTTAAAATCCTAATTTTTTTCACAACTAATATGTTTATGCCGAGATTATCAATATAAAAGTCTTCCAATATTTGAATTGAATCATTTTGATTAAGTATAAGATAAGGCTTTCCTTATTTTGATAAGGCTTCAAGCCTGACAAAGTATTTTCCTTATTTCCCCTTGCCAAGGGCTACATACCCAACATGCATCGTAATATGTGTGCTCTCTTTTTCTCTAGTTCGGACCCTTTCTTATTTTCATGTCCAGGTCCGGTGACTTTAAATCCAATCAGGTCTGGACTCGGACCCGATGCGAGTTGTTGCCAGATACGGTATGCATAGCTCTTTCTCTCTTAAAACGCTCTCTACTCCTCACCATGGTAACGGTTTTTTTTTTTTTTTTACGCATCTCTCTGTCTTAAATTTTATTCCTCCTATAAACAAATAAAATAGGTATTTACCATCTATCTTCCGCTAAATATGGTAAGCATATTTCTCTTTTCCTCTTTTAAATTTTATTCTCTTGTAGGAAATGGCATGCTCAATGTTCGTGCACTAAATGGTATCTTGGATGTGGTGCATAGTATTTTATCCAATAGATAAGGATTGATTTTATTGAATGAAATTTTTTTTACTAAGAATTTTATTGAATGAATTTTTTTACCAAGAATTTTATTGAATGAAATTATTAGATTGATTTTAAACAATGATCAATTTTACACATAACTATTAAGAAGCACGTCAGCTCTATTCAAACCGCACCCATATATAAATCTTAATTCTCGAATTAAGATATAGAAACAATCTCTCCCTTTTATCAACCCATCACGCACAAATTTTAGGAAAGGTGGGATAAAAAAAATATCCTATTTCTCAAAGCTTCTATAAAAATATCTTGTATCTATTAAAATGTCTCATTCTCTCTCTTTTGTGCGTGCTTTCTCTTTCTCAAAGTCTCTTATTCTCTATATTTAATATGTACTATCTCTTTATCACATTAACATATGGAAACAATATCTCTATCTCTCTCATTAAGATAGGAAAACAATATTAATTCTCTAATTAAGATATGGAAACAATCTCTCTTTTTTATCAACCCATCACGCATAAATTTTAGGAAAGGTGGGATAAACAAAATATCCTATTTCTCAAAGCTTCCATGAAAACCTCTTATATCTCCTAAAATGTCTCATTATCTCTCTTTTGTGTATACTTTCTCTTTCTCAAAGTCTCTCATTCTCTATCTCTTATGCGTACTCTCTCTTTATCAAATTAACATACGGAAACAATATCTCTCTCTCATTAAGATAGGAAAACAATATTGATTCTCGAATTAAGATAGGGAAACAATCTCTTTCTTTTATCAACCCATCACGTACAAATTTTAAGAAAAATGGGATAAAAAAATATCCTATTTCTCAAAGCTTCTATAAAAATCTCTTATATCTCCTAAAATGTCTCATTATCACTCTTTTGTGCGTACTTTCTCTTTCTCAAAGTCTCTCATTCTCTATCTCTTATGTGTACTCTCTCTTTATCAAATTAACATATGGAAACAATATCTCTATCAACAATATTGATATCTCTATCTTATGTGTACATATATTCTCCCTCTTCCCCTAAACTGAAGAATATGTCCTACAATCTCTATTCTCTATTCCCGAAGAATATGTCCTACAATCTCTATAGAATTAGCATGTAGTACAGTATAGATAGATATAATAATGCAATATAGATAAATATAGATACGGCAATACAAAAATACGGTATTTTAAATTTTATTCTCGTATAGGAAATGTTATGTGGTCTAATGTTTAGATAAGGATGAATTTTATTGTAATAAAGGAACGTATTGAATGGTATTATTAGATCGATTTTAGATAAAGATCAATTTTACGCAAATTCTAGAAACACAAAAATATGGCGCATCTCTCTCTCAAAAAACGTAAAAAATGAATGAAGCAACTTTTCCATTTATCGTAGACATGATAACATGATTATTTATAAACACTTTAAAAATATTAAAATATTCTACAGATAGTTTTATTTGCATTATGAATATGTATTAATTATTAATACATAATGTTATTTTCAGTTATCATGTATTTAAATATATATCGATTGTTATTATTACTACGTAATGATATTTGCAAAAGCATGTTATCATATGAATATATGGTGGGGAGAAGAAGCATCGTGTAAGAAGAGAGAACAAATAAACAAAAATCTTTTTCTTCTCATCAATGGTAATCCAATTATCTTCATTTCTTAATACTAGATAAGTTAAGCAGTTATATAAATCTTTTTTTTGTTTTTTCCTATCTCCTTCCTATAATCTAGGAAATATAAGATATATAGGGGTTAGCGCCCAAGAGCCTATATAAGTTTCGAACGATTTGCGGTTTTAGACAGAGAAGCAGGGTTCCGAGATTACAAAAAAGTTTGGTTAAAGTTTCTCTCTTTTCAGAGAAAGAGAGAGAGAGTTGAGAGAGTTTTATACAGTAGAGAGTGAAGGACCGATTGTAGTTTTAGACAGAGAAACCGGGTGGAGAAGTTGGGTTAGAGTTTATCTGGTAACAGAGAAAGAGAGATAGCTTTATTAAGTAAAGAGTGAAAGACACTTAAGGAAGAAGACAAAAGAGAAGAAGATGATCTTCTTGAGAAGCAGTGACGATAATGTATTTGAATTGGCAGAAGAAGCTGTCATGCAATGTGAAACTATTAAGAATATCATAGAGGATGGGTGTACTACTAGTGAGAAGTGTATCCCACTCCCTAATGTTTCGAGCGAGACTCTTTCGAAGGTGATCGAGTACCTCAATCACCATGTGAAGGATGACAAAAGAAAGGGGAAAGTGGGAGAGGAAGAGAAGAAGAAGGCTGAGTGGGAACTCACAGAGTGGGATGAGAAGTTTTTTAGCAATGATATGCAAACCCTCTACGATATCACTCTGGTACAGATACTTTCTCTCCTCTTCTTTATTTCTCTTTCCTGTTTCCTTTTAGTATTTTCTTTTTTGGGTTTTTTCCTGATTATTTACTTGGAATTTTATTTTACTATCTTCTTTTAACTTTGCTAATGCATCATCACTTTTGATCACATAAAAGAATTGGTTCTGTTTTATACATGGATTTCTTTCTCTGAGTTAGCTTTTTTATCTCATGATGGACTAATTTCTCCATGGATTTCTTTTTTCCTTAAACAGGTTATAGCAATGTTGCCTTTCTTCTTTTGTTCTTTGAAGTAAAATTTCTTATTTGAACAATTATGTGAAAATTTGTTTTGCTTAGCTGTACTTATGCCTTGATTATGTTACATCATAAGCAGAGTGTTTTCTTCAATGGACTGATTTGTGGAAGTATTTTTATTGTAATGATCCTTTTATTGTAGTATTTGACTATCTCCCTCTCTTTAAGTCTCAAATTAGGTTTTCTTTGAGATTTTAGTTTGTGTTTATTTTAGTGTTTGTAAGTTGATTCTGTGTAGTGGGGTTCTAATAGGATATATAGTAGGGATGAAAGGGCATAATGGATCAATGTGTAGTGGGGTTCTAATAGGATATATAGTAGGGATGAAAGGGCATAATGGATCAATAGCTATGATCTCATTTGAGCTTTTATGGTTTTTAGTTTTTACTTATTGAAGTTCTTTAAACAGTGGTTTAGGGAGTTGAGGGGAGTCTTTGAATATTTACCTCTTATTATTAATTTATTCTAGAGAAGAAAATAAGCTTGTGATGCTTTGGTGATGGACTTCCTTATTTGGTTACTTTGTGCATCAATTGGTATTTGGTGGTTTAATTTTTGCATGTTCCAATATTTTATTATTAGGGCTTGAGTCAAGAGGTTGATTAATTTGGAGGGTTATGCACTGTTTTGAGGGCAGCTTTGGTTGAACCTCGTGACTAAAGTTTTCACTGCTACATGTTTATTATTGGAAGTTCCATGCGAACTTTTTTTTTTTTGGTATGAATTTACTCTCTGGACACCTTAGTTTAATAGTTTGTTGTTTTTTCTTGTCTGAAATTGTGAACATTTCATGGGGCTAGTTATTTTATATGAATTTAAGCTTTTGTCCATGATGTTTTTTTGGCGAAGTGAAAATATGTTAAACTCCTATTTTCTCTATCATTGTCAAGTCAGGTGAAGTGCTCATATGTTAAACTTCTATTTTCTCTATCATTGTCACTTCAGGTGAAGTGCCCATACGTTAAAATCCTATTTTCTCCATAATTGTTCAGTCAACTCGTCATCTTTCCATATGTTTGAGCATGATATTGTGATTGATCTTGTTATATATATGTGTGTGTATTCAGCAGTGATTTCCCTTCTGGACTTGGTATTTAATATATCGTAGCTTTATTGTTGACAACTTAGGCAGTCCTTTGATCAGGGGACTGACACATTCATACATCATAGCTCATAGCTTTATTGAGTGGTTCTTATTAATGTATTAAAAATAAATAAATAAAAAAAATAAAGCTCGAAAGCCCTGCTAGGTGACTATCAAAATATGGTGATCAAACTTTCAAAAGAAAAAAAGAAGAAGAAGAATAAGCAATAAAGTTGGCTACTTGTGGCCATCTGGTTTTCTTTCAATGGAAAGGAACTTTGATATGAAACAAATATTTCAATCTTTTGACAAACTAATCTTTTAAGGATGTTGTAGTGGTATCCCGTATTCTTCTATTTAGCCATAATGTAAATTTCTCAATCCTCACCTTTTAGGATAATTATCTAGAACAAGCATTTACTTTTGTTTACTGCTTGTAATACTATGTGTAATGCATGTTGTGAATCTTTTGTCCTTCTGGATTGAGTGCTTGACATGGTAAGAATGAGCTGATGATTTTATGGGACTTTTAAGTTATGCATGTTGTAAATCTTGTGTCTTGCTAGATTGAGATTGGCATGGTGTTTGGGTACCTGACTCACCATTGAGTTGAATTTATCGTACCATTGAGTGGAATTTATCATACATGTATTATTTCTCCCTTGTAAGGTACTGCTATTCATTCTTGTTCTACAAGATGACCAATAGATTTATTTTTCTATGTTATTAATTTATAGAATTAATAGTTTTGTATAAATGTCCCTAGTATTAATTTTTCTTGTATTAATTTTTGTAATAATTTCTATGCTATTCGCTCTTGTATTAATTTTTCTATGCTACAATGTCTCTAGTGCTATTAATTTATATAAATGTGAATCTATCCTATTCACAGCTCGCGGTAGATATGTTACATTTTATTTTTCTCACTTAATTTTGTTTTTTGTTAGTTGAACCCAAGAGGATTGTTTGAATTGTTATTTGTGCCATCATTATCTTCCTTTCTTTTTTTTCTCTTTTGAGGCTCCGAATGTTTTAAGTTTTTGTGAATTCTCTTGACTTCATAGAACAAACGATACCTCTCTGTGGGTTTCTATTTCTTCCATATTGATATTTATTGTGTCACTGCGTATTGTTTTTGCAGGCAGCAAATTACCTGAAGGTCAAGAGCTTATTTGACAAGACTTGCATGACTATTGCCAATCACATGAAGGATTGGAGTCCCGAAGAGATTTGGATGACTTTTGGAATTCAAAATGGTATTTCGCCTGAAGAAGTAGAGCAAGTGAAGATGGAAAACCAGTGGGCTTTTGAATGAGTCCCAGTTGCTTGTTATATTTCCCTTTTTCCCGGATATGTTTTATTTTACTTTCATCCTATGTTTAAATTTTGGTAATAATAATTCACCTCCAAAGGTGGCATTTTTTTAGATGGACATAAATATTCCTACATAAAGAATAATACATACTCAAATACAAAATATGTATAAAATTCCAAAAAAATAAAATAAAGTTACACATGTAAAGAGTTTTAAAATTTTCATCAATAATTCATATTGCTCACAATGGCTATGATATATTTTCACATATGTTTTTTCAGAAAAACATAAAACAAAAAATACTTACTGATTCAAATAAGAGAGATTCAAAATTTTGAATGTATTTTTTTAAATTTTTATTTTTAGAGATGTAGGAGAAATTTTTTATTTTTTTAGTGATCAATTTGGGACGATGTTGGGGGATTAAATATGCGTTGAATTCTTGTTGTGACGGACCAAGAGGGAATTTATTAACTGTTATGGGTAGGCAGTGTCAGTTACGTTATTAGTCCTTTGATTTATGTTAGGAGATATCGTATTGGGGTAACGTAAAAGCGCATGGAGTCAGGAAAAAATAGTTTTTTTTGTTTTGGTAATTCAGTGCAGATGATGAGTCCTTACGTACCCGCTTTTGAAATTCATTTTTGAAATCGTTACTTACGTACCCGCTTTTGAAATTCATTTTTGAAATCGTTAGTAGTTTTTTAATGCGTGAGGTGAAAATAGAAACTTAGATCTTGACAACCCGCTTTTGAAATTGATTTTTGAAATCATTAGTAGTTTTTGAATGCGTCAGGTGAAAATAAAAACTTAGATCTTAGCAAGGGCACAAGTGTGCTACCACGATCTCAACCCCATTCTTTTTTAAAAAAAATAACTTAGATCTTGGCAAGGGCACAAGTGTGCTACCACGATCTCAACCCCATTCTTTTTTTAAAAAAAATAGTTCTACTTAGAGGAGAGAGATAGAATAACTTTAGGGTTTTTTTTTTTCTTTTAAATAAATTGTGGTCTGTCAGTGGTTGAGGTAAGAGGTCCCCTTATGAAGGAACTCTTTGCTTTTTCCTTTTTTTGTATGGGGAACTCTTTTTACCAAGAAAGCTGAATTTAATTTCATAGGCTCCTTTCGCATCAGTTAGTATCTCCTCCATTCTTACGATTACCTATGGAAAATAAAACAAAACCATGAACAACATGCCTGTGAGAGTTGCACGGGGTTATCTCCCAGGAGAACAATGACCATAAAACCATGAACAACATGCCCGTGAGAGTTACACGGGGTTATCTCCTAGGAGAACAATAACCACCCCAGAGAGCCTTCCATTCAACCAAAATAACTAAAGAATAATCAGGGACATGGCTCATAGGGTTTCCCATCCTCTTCAAATAAATAGCAAGCAAACCATCAAATATGAAACACCAATATTATGAAATTTGTGTACCCGCAATGGACTTCCTAAAGCATCAAGCTGATCTTGACGGGATTTGGTTTATCTAAGGTTTCATTGGGGTTCGGTATTGTGTTATCAGTGTTTAAAAAATCAACTCGGTCAAGGTACTTGGATCCAGGCCAAGGTCTCGAATCCAGGCCAAGGTACTCGAATCCAGGCCAAGGTACTCAGACCCTGGCCATGGAGATTTACTAAAAAAAGGAGACTAATGAAAGTAAATAGAGGAAGGTGATTTACTAAAAAAAAAGAGACTAAATAGGGGAAGGTTGGTCCTGGGAGCCTTGATAGGATCTCATAGTTTAGACAACCCGGTTTGTCTAAAGTTCTATTGAGATTCGGTACTATGTTATCAGTGTTCAAAAAATCGACTCGACCAAAGAACTCAGATCCTAGCCATGGTGACTTACTAAAAAAACAAGGGAGAATAATGAAAGTAAATAGGTGAAGGTTAGGCCTAGGAGGCTTGGAAGGATCTCATAGTTTAGACAACCTGGTTTGTCTAAGGCTCTATTGGGGTTCGGTATTGTGTTATCAATGTTCAAAAAATCAACTAAGCCAAGGTACTCGGACCCTGGCCAAGGTACTCAGACCCTGGCCAAAGCGACTTACTAAAAAAAAAAAAAATAATGAAAGTAAATAGGCAAAGGTTGAGCCTAGGAGGCTTGGCATGATCTCATAGTTTAGACAACCTGGTTTGTCTAAGGTTCTATTGGGGTTCGGTATTGTGTTATCAATGTTCAAAAAATCGACTCGGACCAAGGTACTCTGACCCTGGCTGAGGCAGTTCATGTCATGCTAAAAAAAAAAAGGGAATATGAAAGAAAATAGGCTTGTCTAAGGTTCTATTGGGTCGGTATTGTGTTATCAATGTTCAAAAAATCGACTCGGCCAAGGTACTCTGACCCTGCCTGAGGCAGTTCATGTCGTGCTAAAAAAAAAAAAGGGAATATGAAAGAAATTAGGCGGTCGGGCTTGGGAGGCTTTGAACCGAGGACATGAGGTAGTAGAGACGTATATAATGGCCAACTAACCACTTAGACGCAGCTTAAATAAGGTTACGAATAGCAATATAAATAGAAAATCGGTACATTGTACTCGGCCTCATCCATAGGCCATGCTCGAGTAACTCAATCGAGCCAAGTTACCTCAGCCGAGTCTAGAAACACTATGTGTTATTGATTGTGTGAAGTAGCAACAGTATGGTAAGAGGGAACAAACTGCTATCCGGTTACTGAGTAGGCATTATGTAGTGATAATTGGTCAGAAGCGATCTGAGTTTGTGGCATTAACAGTTATATTACTTGGTTTGGGCAGAGTTTAGAGGGAATTGTTGGTGCTGAGAATAATTTGTGGTGGTGTGGGTACAATCCATTTGCGACCACAACATCCATTTGATCAAGTCACACAGTGGCAATGGTGTGGGGCCACTCTTGTTGATAAAGGGCCTCTAGAGTAGATCATATTGTGTCTTGGTACAATTTCGAATCTAAATTAGATCATAGTTAGCACGTCTGGAAGTAACAATGCATCTGGTAAATTAAAAAGTGGATAATGAATCAATGGCCAAAAAAAATCAGGGCAAAAAATCGTTTGCCAAAAATTAGGTAATTTTAAAATGTGAACATTTCGGATCTAACTCAAAAAAACGGATTGACAAACTGGATATGAATAGTGCCACAAAATAAAATGACAATTCACTACTATAAAAATATAATATAGAGTTATTGAAAAATAACTTAATCTCGGTAGCATTTAGGGTCCTGCTTGATTAACTTTTTGTCTAGATTTTTATTATACACAATGACATGATAGGCTTCTCTTGCTCTCACGACATGAAACATGTACTCACCTTATTGGGAGCATGCAATAGAAGAACAACAATACAAAATACAATAATTTACATTAACGAATAACAAGAACAACAACCGAATTATAGGTTCATTGTTTAGTAAAATACAAAGAACTAAGTAAATGATTGTAGCTAACAGAAAACCAAAAATCCAAAAAAAATGAAATTGCAGTAAATCTAATTTTGTCTTTTGTGTTCACCAGTTAACAACAAAATAACCAAAAGACATGAAATTAATCATTTACAAAGAGAGTCACAAACGGCTTACTTGTACTGAATGTTATGGAGTGATGGAATATACCTCTCTTCGTTTTTTCAACGATACTCTTGGTTTGGAGAAAAAGAAGATTCAGTAATGAGTTAATCTTCCGGTATCACTGCAATCATTTTGAGAGACTGTTTTTTTGGGGAGTATCTTTTTCCTGAATTACATTGGTAACTTTTTCTGCTATTTTTTTTTGGGGGGAAGGGGATATGTTGGTTAGTGCTTGAGGGGATTCTTTATTAAATCAAGATCCGTTATTTAATCTCAATTTTAGTAAGATTATTTCAAAAATGCAATTCCAAGATTCCAAATAATTGAATAGACATGATGTTTCAAGACTGTGAAAAACGATAACAAACTTCAAGTTTTTTACATATCACAAAAAAATAAAGATTTTTTGAAAAAATTGTATTTTAATTATAGACTTGCTAACCAGATTACACGCTTCCAAGGAAAGCTTTCTTGCATATAAAATTTTGTGTACTTGTTGCCAATTGGCTATATCTTTCCTCAAATCAAAAATCACTTTTGATGTTATCATTTTGTCAAAATAATGAGAACCTATGCTTCGCGTTGATTTTCTTTAATTATTTCTGCTAAAAAATTTATCCCTATTAATCGCCAAGATGAAATCCATAGTTCGAAACGGCTGTTAAAAAGGTCAAGCCCTGCGGGCTATGGCACTTTGCAAGAAAATAATGCCTCCCAAACTTGTTCAAGAAAAGAAGCAATATTGCACTATAGTGGCCATTGTTTATAGGTAGTTTAGCTGGGGGAATGGTGCTTAAAACATAGTGCAAGTTTGATTTGCAAAGCGCTGCAACCGTCAATATAAATGGGCATGTCTAAAGAGAACATTTATCTTCCGTCAATATAAATGGGCATGTCTATAGAGAACATTTATCTTTTGTCTTTTAAATTTTAAAATGGGTGGTATATTTTTGTACATGAAAGTAACAAGTGTCTTAAATTTCAAAATGGATGGTTATAAAAGTGTCACTGAATAGACATAAAGCTCAAAAAAACAATTTCTTAGACTTCATAACTCGCTTTAGTCATCCAATTTGACATCTAATGAGTGGGAATGATTGTGACTTCGACGTATAAAAATAAATGGAAAAAGTTTATATAAGGGCAAGGCCCTAAACAATCAAATTAAGATGTATCTTAAAAATTCAAAAGAAGAGGATGTTTCGATGTTGAAAAACCTTCAATTCGATTATCTCAATATCAAAATTTATGGACATGAGAAATGAGAAAAAATAGATTTCAAGCACTGGAAATAATGCATCCTATAATGTATTATCTAGACAGTCAATTTTCAACTTTTTCAAGTGCTCATAGATATGCTTGATCTACACTAATTTTGAATATTTAGATTTAAAAAATAGAGATGAAAAATAAATTTTCAGGTCATCTTAAAAAATTTTTATACTAAAACAACATATTTCGGCACTATTTAAAAGTGTAATGTACTTTGATTGTTAGAGCCTCAGGCTTATACAAACCACACCCAAGATGAATTCTCTTTGTAGACAATCCCATTATATATATGGGTTTTGTTATCTACACCAACTTTGTGGTGTAGATCTTTAAAGTACACAACATTTTTTTATACGAAAATACCCTTGAATTGTAATACAAAATTTTTCAAATAAGGACATTTTTTGTTATTTAGAATGGTAGAATGGATATTTTTATAAAAAAATAGTGATATTTTATTAGTAGTTAAAAACAATTAATGCATCTTGTGGGTGACACCATATCGGTGATATCATTGTCCACTACTGGTAATAAATGTTTTTGTTTCTATTAGTATTTCTAGTTTATCTTTGATTAATTACTTAAAATGCCCCTAAACAAAAAGTTATTATACTATAGGATAAGTGTAGTTAAATGTCTAAAATGT